AGTCCAAGAAAACTGATTGCTCTAATCATACCAGTGGCGTGTGCTTGTGCAAAGGCAAAAAGGTAAGAAAAGATTCGTCATGGCCATAGTCATCGTCACATGCTCTCACTAGCTGTCTAGATAGGTTCATATGGACCGAGAAACCGCCCACTTTGATAGCAAACAATCGAAGCTGCACGCGTATTCAGTACAGCGTCTTCCGGACCACGCGACTCGTAACAGGCGATGATGATAAAGTAGACAGAACAGTGTCTAAAACGTGTGGGGGTCAGCCCATTTCCTGCAAATACAAGCTCAGCAAATGCATTGTTTGAAGTTGAGGTTTGCGCATAACTCAAAGCCATCATTGAACTAAAAAAACGCACTGGCGAGGGGAAAACAAATCTTCGTATCGTAAATTTTCGGGTGGTTTCCAACCATCCACGAATCAGGATAAACAGGCTGCTCACACTTCAAGCACGCCCGGTGACCCCCGCTGCGGCCTGCGAGTAGCCTTCACAAACGTTTGCAGTATTATGAATAAGCGCGATGAGCTTTGTTGTTTCGTTGCGTCTGAGCGGCCAGACGTAGTGGGACTCGCAGAGACATGGCTGCATGCAGAGTTATACTCCCAAGAACTTGAACTCAACGGTTACTCGTGTTTCCGATGCGATAGACTAAAGAATGCCCACGGTGGTGTCTTACTTTACATCCGGTCTTCCCTGCGTGGGAGACTTGTGAGCACCTATCGAAGTGACGATGGTTTATGTGAGCTACTGTGGTGCTCCATCCGCCTCAGGCGAGGAGAACTGCTTGTGGGCGCAGTTTATCGCAGTCCCCTGAGTCGTGGTTTGGATTGGCTGCCCATTCTTCGGACCCACATGAGTCGTCCGCACTTTCTACTTATGGGCGATTTTAACTGTCCTCGAATACGATGGCCTGATGTGCATTTGATGCCTGGACATAGTGAGGTTGAAGCAAAGTTCGTGGATTTGGTACTTGAAACTGGCGCATCGCAACACATATGCCAGCCAACACGCATATCAACACGTTCAACCCCGTCCTGTCTCGACCTGATGTTAACGAGCTACGAACAACGAGTGCGTGACGTTAGGATCCTGGAGCCCCTGGCTACGAGCGACCACTCAGTACTGATAGCTGATATGGAATTATCTTTGCCGTATTCACATTCGCTGCAACCAGCTCCCAACTACTGGAAAACGGACTTCGATGGTCTAGCTCGAGCCGCGAGCCAACTGGATTGGTCTCTGTTACAAGCTGCATCTGTGGAAGATTGTTGGATATTTATAAAAGAGAAATTAACGTCATTGTGTTCCCAATTTGTGACATTGAAATGTCGGATGGTTGGACCGATTAAGCCACATTGGTTTGACAATGAGCATAGAAACCTGGCTCGGAGGCGGCGCAGACTGTGGGACAAATTCCTCCTCTCTGGCTCTGCCAATGATTATGAAGGGTATAAATGTCAGCGGAACCTCTGCAACAGTGCAAAAAAGAATAAACGCCGACATTTCGAAGAGCAACTCGCAGTAGCCGCGAAGACCGCCACCAAGAGAATCTTTGCATACGTGAAGCGACGCCTGAAGCCGGCAGGTGATGTGCCAGTGTTGGATGGCACGGATGGACAGCCCCTAATCTCCAGCACTGAGCGTGCGTCCGCGTTGGCGGCGCACTTCGCTTCTGTATTTGCGAATAACCAGGTGTCTGTTCCGAGTTCGACGTGTACCGCTTTTACCGAACTCGACAGTCTGGATTGCGGCGTTGAAGATGTATGTCAACTACTCGCCAACCTTGACGACACCAAACCTGCCGCACCTGATGGGCTTCAATCACTGGTTCTCAAGTCACTTTCAGCCATCATCTCTCCTGTCGTGACTGACCTTTTTAACAGCTAGCTGTCCAAAGGTTCGTTGCCAATTGACTGGAAATGTTCGGTGGTGAAACCTATGCCGAAAGGCGGCGACCCTAGTAAAGTAGACAACTACAGGCCAAATTGTCTGACACCTATTTTGGCAAAGGTTGTTGAGGAAACCGTGAAGAAGTGAATGCTTAAGTTGCTACAGTCAAACGAGGTCATGATGCCCGCACAGTACGGTTGTATGCAAGGCCGCTCATGCATTACCATCCTTCTTGTGACGAGACATGAGTGGTTGAAGGCAATAAGCAAGGGGAAGTCTGTCGAGGTGATATTCATCGATTTCAGCAAAGCTTCCGACAAGGTCAGTCATGAGGTTCTCCTTCACAAACTCAGCATGTGTGGTGTCAGTGGCTCACTGCATCGGTGGATCCGCGACTTACTTGCTGCACGAAAGTGGAGGGTACAGGTCGAAGATCATCTAACTGACTGGTACCCCTCTACAAGTGGCGTGCCACAAGGCACTGTGCTGGGGCCCACTCTGTTCCTGATCCACATTAACGATCTACCGCAGCTTTTCCGGTCGCCGTGTGCCTTGTTTGCGGACGACATGAAGATTTGGAGAGAAATCGACGCTCCCGATGACTGTGGCCTACTTCAGCAAGACCTCAACCGCCTATCCACATGGTCTGCAGAAGTTCTTCTCCCGGTCAACCCAGCCAAGTCTGTATTTATGAGCCTGGGGAAGGGTGCTAACGGCCGAACCCACACCCTTGACGGCCAAACGCTATATCCCACACCCTCCGTGAAAGACCTAGGTGTACTCTCACGCTACGATTTGAAGTCCGTGGACAACACAAACAGGCTATATCGTAACGGACTGCGCATGCTTTGGGCGCTCAAACGTAGCTTCGGAACATGGTCAGAAGAGGCTGCCACTCGCCTCTTCTCTTCCATCATTAGACCAATGCTAGAGTACGGTTCGCCCGCCTACTTTCCGATTACCCGAGGCGAGGCACAAAAGATTGAACGGGTCCAACACGTTGCTACCAGGCTGATCCCGAGTTTACGTGGCTTTAGTTATGAAGACCGATGCGAGAAACTAGGACTCTACACCTTGTCCTACCGTCGGGTGCGGGTCGACCTCATTATGACCTACCGTATTCTACATCTCGATGACTTCCCAATGCTAAGGCCAATGCTGCACTTACGAGGGCTATGCAGCACACGCGGACACAGATACAAACTTGTCGTGCCGGATGTGAAATGTGTTCCCCACCCACTGTGCTTCGAACGGAGAGTGGTAAACATTTGGAACAGTTTGCCTGAACATGTGATTGAGGCAACATCTGTGCAGCAGATCAAAACGTTGTTAGATTTGTATTTTGCCACTATTCGATTCAGAGAACGACTGCACATTTACGATGACATATCACATTTGTGAGTCCTGAAATATCGTAAGTCGAATATTTTAAATATTACATGAGAACGATAAGGATATTCACGGTTGACAACTTTTATAACGTTTTTCACCATATTTCGAAAGAGTTGTACAGAATTCATTTCTACTTGCTCTATAATACAGTATTCAGCAGTATTCAATAATGAGTGCCCGCAGTTCCACAGAATTCATGCACGTCCAATGGTCGTGTTGTTGCGATAGTGGTGATGGTTGCCATGGTGGCAGTGGTGGTGAATCATGAGAATAAAATCAGTGGCCAAGTAAAGGCGACTAAACTACGTTCAACAAGTAGAACGTTGATGAGATGCATTGCACTGCAAAAATGTGATGGAAAATCCACGTCAAGCCAACGGTCCCCAATTGTTAATAGAATGCTCCACTAGTCAATAAGCTACCAGCACAAAGTACAGATATTGCCGTATAGTTAAAAATGCGATGTTAGCGTGAATTCGTATCAAAAATGAGAACAGTCACACGTATGGTATTGTCCTCTACGCAGTCTCAAACACTGATTATCCTCAGAATAGCCACTCGTATGGCATTGTCCTGCCCGGTCTCAAGCACTGATTATGGTCAGAATAGCCACACGTATGGTACTGTCCTCTGTCTGATCTCAAACATTGATTATCCACAGACTAAAATAGTCTGGGGGTATATGGAAGATGCCATGAGGGTGCATACTTCTGATATGAAGTTGAGCGCAGAAACTCATAGAAGCGTAGCACAATAGTTAAAATGAAAGTGTGGCCGAAACGTCTAAACCGGGTGGATAGGTGACTTGTAGGCAAATTAGAATGGCTTCTCTCGGTTACCAGATACCAGAGGGGCGCAAGCAGATAGGAGTTATGGCCTTCAAGCCTGACTAGAAGTCATAAGAGGGTGAAGAAACCAGGTTGTGAAGAGGAATTGAGTTAGCTTCGAGCCACAATGACAGCATGAAGTCGAGCAACCAGCAACTTCGTTGAAATAATCAAAAGTGCGCTGGGAGATTGTCCACTTAGGCGAAACAACAGAACGAAAGGGATTGTTAATGTCGCGCATGAAAACAACAGGGTTTAAGAGTAGCCATGTGATGCTAAAGGTGCATGATAGTATCCACATCAGGACTACAAAAGCAAACGCAGCAGGATGGTGCGAGCAACATGTGCACAACACGTAGCGCGAGCACTTGCAGCGATTGGCTATATTTGGAAAGGGGGACGGCATCGGGCCGTTGGAAGACGGCTGAGAGGTACGATATCCCAAGTGAGCAGCGAAACGGCTTCTGTTGTTTACATGAAAATAGTTAAGATAACGGCACCCATTTGCAATAAGGTGTCAGCAGTACGCCGGTATGCAGTACCGACGCTACGCTGCCGCGCAACTACCACCAGTCCCGGGTGAGCTAAGGATACTGCGAGAGTCACTCAGTCCCCTACGAAGGCTCGAACCCGAGCCCTCGGATTACAAGGCAGGTTCGTGATTCTCTAGACAACAAGCCGGCACTACATCTCTTGGTATTAAAGGATTGAAATCAGATGAAAAACTACGAGTAATCGTGAGCGGCAGCTGATCGCTGACTGTTCCGACATTGACAACCTGACGGAAGCTGGTTATATTGGTCTTTCAAAAGTGGCACGGGAATTATTCACCATCGTAAAAGCTGGCATGTATAATGATTGAAAAAAGGCCCAAGCAACTTACGTAGAAACTGTTTCCTCAGCAAACCACAATTCCACGCACAAATGCACTTCGTACTTCATCAATGATTCATCCAAATAACAGGGATCCACTTGGAAAAGCACACGCTGTTCGAAAACATCGCACAATCTTACACTTTCGTCGCGATACATGATCAATAAGGTTTTACTGCACGCCTTCTCCGGGACTGCGACAGGAATTGTGCCCCCCAGATCTATGTAACTTGAGTGGACAGATTCTTGCACCCGAACACGGGAACTGGTCCTCTCCCACAATAGCGGGGGCTCCACAACGGAGGCATATTTTGGTTGACTTGTGTTCGAAGTAGGCGGTACCTGTCCTCCTGTCCGCATGTAAGCGCGGACCTGATAATAGCTACAAAGATTTGTCGGTTTAAACACACAACTCACCCCCGACGATATAGATCAATATTGTGAAATTTGCGTAGTTCAATGACAAATGATATGGCCGCCTGGACGATGGGCATCGCTCACGGGGGGCGAAGAGAGATGGCGGAATCATGTGACCTAGTACAAAGATTGAGAAAAGAATAGAAAGATAGGCCAGTTGGACGACTGTGTCCGTTAATGACTGAATGTATTAAGGAAAGACGGAAGTGAGCACGCAGTTTAAATCCACAGAATGCATGATAAGCTTGTGTTTTCGTAAACCCGATTTGAAAACGATCAAGCTTAGTCGCAAGATTCACAAGCACTTCGACAAATCTCAGGGGAATCGATCATAGCACGACACACTCAAGGAATGCAAGAGCCGAGAAGAAAATCACGTTGCCTCACAGCGGTGATAATCTCTGAAACGGCAACGAAACTTTGTTGCCCCTTGGAGTCAAGGTTGCCTATCGACCAACGAAAACGACTCGGAGTGAACTCTTCAAGGTGAAGGACACTTGAAAAAGGGAAACATCTGATGTGATGTAAAAATAGGCTGCCGGAATTGTAGCCAATATTACGGGGGCAACTAAAAAGAGATCTTGGTACAAGACTACATCAACATAGCCTAGCCATTAGTCATCTGTGATGTCCGTGCATATGGATGCCGAAACCCCCAAATTCGGTTTGGAGCATGTCAAAATCTTTGGGAAATCAAAAACCCAGCAAGCATGTGAACTCATCGAAAACTGGCATTCAAAAAATGATAAACAGGCAATTGATTCTAGAACTAGGGTACGGAACTGCATTGATGATGTTGCCTTGCCTGATAACAAAACGGCTACAAACTAAAAGGTTAGCTCGGAGAACAACTTCAAATGGCCCATTCTGTCTAAGGTCGTTTCATTCATTGAGTCTTGCTTTGGCCTGCGCATAAGATGAGGCAAGAAGGAAGCGAGTGTTTCGAATAGCACAAATTTTCTGGATTTCACGGGCTGTCGTAAGCCACTAACACTGCATAGCAGTCTTAAGGCCCATGGTCAAATGTCGCTCCTGTGTTTCGGCAATCCGACATCGATTATCCAACAGAATCCTCTCTAATCCCACGGTCGAACAAATCGAAGTTATAGAACTCTGTCCAATACTATAACGGAGCAAGTTATAAATAAATATGTATATTAGGTGAATAAGCGGCCTATGGAGACAACTCAAATCACCAGCTAGTTAATAGCTTCGTTAAGTAGTACCAAATATCGACCACACTTGAATCCGTTGCCGGTTTTCTCAGATGGCGTCCTTAGTTAATGAGCAAGTAAATTCGAAGTCCGGTGGCCTATTGAGACTTGAAAAGTGAGTGTTATGCGAGTAAAAATCGGAATAGCACCAGAGAGAGTGAACCGCTCAGCACTGTCATATCACACAGCAGGCTCCGATGGCTGGGTCACGTGTTGCGCATACCAGCATACGGATCCCCGCGACGTGCGCTTTTTGTGCGCCCGGGGTCTGGATGGAGGAAGAGAAAGGGAAGCCAAACGACGATTTGATCGGGAGGAATGAAAACTCGCACTTCGAAGTTGGTGCGGCCTGATCGGCCGGACACTTCCTGATATGGTAAAGAGCCCACCCCAGTGGCGTTTGTGTTGTGGATTTCTTTATCCATCTCCTTCTGTTTTAAATACCCCTTCTAATCAGGATTTCATAGCAAGTGTATAATTTCATATCAAACATTACATTACTTGCTCTTTGAATTTATTGTAATGCAATTTTTTAGTACCTAATCTAATATGATTTGCGGCACATTAGCTGAGCTGTGTTGCTTAGCTTCAGAAACGTGTAATGATGATCATGATGATCGTTAGCGGCAAATTTACCACGCAATTCGAAAAACGAATAACTCTGGACTCCTACCAACTATTTGTATACCCACCATATGAGCAAACGTTTGGGACACGTCTGTTTCTGTAAACCCTGCAATAACCTAATTGTTATAATTGAGGGAACACCTCTGTTATGATTGCGTAGATGCCTGATAAGATTGTCACTGGCGCGGATGGGGCGCGCCTATGGTAACGGCTTGGAACGCTCACCTCATGGCGTTAGCTTAGCCCGGGGGGCGCGCTGGTGAGACGGAAATTGTGCGAGCGTGAGAACGATCCTAGCCGCACGTATTCGGGTAGACGCTGAGCCTTCGGAACGGACGCACACAAGAGAGGGTTACCGTGGACGCGCGCTAGTTACTTAGACGCGAACGCTGCCCGGCTAACGACGCATACAAAATCACGTGACCGACCGATTCCCAACTAAGGCGAAGAGGAAGAAAGGTAAGTGGTCCTCTGAAGGTTCGTTTACGACCAACAAAGAGCGAACCACAGCCAATGCAATGGGTTATTAAGTTAGGGAAAATTGCTACCACGACGGGGTGGTGGTTTGTAAAAGAATATTGTCAACAGGTGCGCAGTTGGGCCGCGTCTCGGAGTGGCTGAACGCTGCTGCGTTGTGGGGAGGGATTGGACCTCGCTTTCCCCAGCCATTATGCCGGAGTTTCTGGCGCGTTTTTGCGGGGATGTCTGACGGGCCCGCAACACTAACACTCACTCGCAAAACACTTTCTAGTTTCATTGTGTCCCGTACAAGACGTGGTGGACAAACCCGGACACAGTATTCCAAGTGAAGGCGCATGAAAACCGAGAATACCTTCACAAACATGTTGGACGTTAAAACCTCGAAGGAGCAACGAATAAACCTTTAACAAACATCCTACTTCCAGTAAAAAGACGGGACAGAAGGTTGTGGATATCTTAGTAGATATATCCCGGTGGACTATGTTTCTTCTTCAATTAAACTAATGGAGGCGTTAAATCCCCGTCTATTATTCAAGCACGCTGGAAGAACAAGTATAGATTGCGGTAATAAATAAACAAATAAAATTTTTATTCTCGACAAAGCAAGGCATGCCTTTACAGACTTGATCACATTAACATAGCAAAGCGTGAGCAAACGTGTACAAAAATATAACGTGTTTACCGTAAAAGTGAACGTTTGTGTAGGGGTGTGTATGTCTATGTAATTGCGTAAGGGTGTAGCTGTGTAGTTTGTGCTGCATTCTTGTCTGTTTGATAGCATCGGCAATGTGAGAATAAATGATTGATGTCCGTGAGTTGGATAAGATTTTCCGGATATTCGCGGGACAGTGAGTTTAGTTCGTGGTGAGTCACGATCGCCACGTCACACTGTTGATAAAGGGACATAGGTGGTTTTTTATAGGAAGAACGCTGGCCATGCGAAAACCCACCACGTCCTGCAACACTGCCGCCGAACTATTTGCTGAAACGGGTTAAACTCGAAACACTCAGCTGGCACCACGAGGTTATTCGGCTAACCATTTGTGGGTGAACACTGGAATTCCGATATTTACTTCCGCGGACTGCGAATACAGTTGATAATCAAGTGTCTCCGAACACGAGCGCTAAACTAATGCATAAAAATTGAATCCTAGGCTAATAAGCATGAGAACAGTTAAAATCGAGACAAGTGCTTCAGACCGACCGACATTCTTGCAGCAATGTGCAACAGCTATAACTGATGGTGAGGTCAGCAAGAGGAATCCAGGACAGCCTGTAATTCTGTGGCTGTGATATATTTCAAGGTGAGCGCTTGCGCTGCTCAAATAGACTTCGCTCAGCGGGTGGCCGAAGAAAGCAGTTATCATCATTAGTAAGGCATGCATCAACCCCGAAACGGCCTCAAAGGTGACGTCTAGATTTAGATAGGTGGCCGACTCGGGTAATAACAGTACTAATGGTACTTCAAAATGTGGAAGAGATTTGCTGATAGAATTCCTTTTTGACAGCGACACAGAAGAAATAGGTGGGACTGTCAACGGAGACAACAGAAACTGATTGTAGCCGCCAACTATTAAGTTTGATGGAATTTCGACATTAAATGATGCGAATGCGACTACCCACTAGGATGAAGTCCAACGAGCGGCCTCTGCGAATCAGTGATCCGCCATCGTGGAGACGGCAAGTGTGCAAGCACAATTCTTGAACCGCCGCAAGACAACCACCAGTTGCGGAGTGTGAGGTAGGGACACAACGAGGTCGCCCACAAGTACACAGGATTGAACCGGCGAGGATCGGTTGTTATGTATCCGTATTCGACTAACCTTAGAGAATATACAAGTTAAAGAGTAGATTCGTCGAGGTCAAGACATCAGCCGTATGCCAGTATGGAGTACCGGTGCTTTGCTGTCGCGCAAGCATAAGCTCTCACACGTGGGCCAAGGATACTGCGAGGGTCGCCGGTCTCTAAACATGTTTAAACCCGTACCCTCGGATTACAAAACAGGCTTGAGATCCTTAGCGCTACGGGCCAGTGAGGTACGTACGTAGTACTGAAAAGTACAGTCAAGTCCAAGGTTAACTAGGACCAGAACGATAGGATAATCCTGTGAATGTTGGTTCTTGTAGGTATCGTATGACTGCTAATTGATAAAGCGACTTTAGATTCGATAAATTTAAAACGAAAGTAGCAGATATGCCACATCAGCTTTGGTTCATTTGTTAAGATAAGCGTATAGTCTGTTTGGTCTGGAGGATGATTGTTCTGCTAAACTAAACGTAAAATTTTCTCTTCCCACGCTTTGCCTGGGAACACAGGTTCATAGTTGCCTGGTAGTTCGAGTAATCAGTGGCCAGTTGAGAGAACTTGAATCCGTCCCACAGTTTCCGTCGCTGCTTCATGAGGAGCCGTAATTTTCGACCAATCCAGGGGGCCCTCTCATGGGGTTGCTTCCTAAAGTTTGGGACAACCTGTTCAATAAGCATGTTCATTTTGAAGCGTAGAAGATTCCAAGCCCATCAACATCTAGATCTTGAGGGATGGTCTAGTCCTGGGTGCTAGCCACAGTTCTTAGGCGGGAAAG